ACCTTACATAATCATAGTACAATGACTGAAACTAAGAAATGAACACTGATAAAATGCTATTTACTAATCTATAGACTTTATTCAAATGTCCCCAGTTGTCCCACTGAGAAAGAGAAAAGCAGCTCATGCCAGCTGGGAACTGGCTTGGCATTATCAGTTAGGCCTTACCCTCGGTGTCACTCAGAGCTGGCTTGGCCCTTGTAGCTTGGTCTTTGTGGTCTCTTTGAACATAAACAATTTCTCAGAATGCCATCAAACAAAGCTGCTCTGTGACCAAGATAGATCAAGACAAAACAAGGCCACTCTGTACTCATGTCTGAACACAAACAACAATGTGAACATTGTTCAAACAGAAATGACCGAAACATCCCCTTATCCTGGTTAGTGTGAGAATAGGAGTGACTGCTGTGACTTTACTAATTAGAGCTTTAGCCATGCTTCATTTCTCCTGTCCTATAGATAAGATTTATTGATATATTCAAGCATAGAATTACCCCCACTCGCGGACAGCATCCAATCCAGAGCATTACAAATGAGCAGATATATAAATGATTTATTTATTTATTTATTTATTTATTTATTTATTTATTTATTGAGACAGGGTCTCAATGTCACCCAGGCTGGAGTGCAGCGGCACGATCTTGGCTCATTGCAACCTCTGCCTCCTGGGTTCAAGTGATTCTCCTGCCTCAGCCTCCCAAGTAGCTGGGATTACAGGCTCCCACCACCATGCCCTGATACTTTTTATATATTTAGTAGAGATGGGGTTTTGTCTTATTGGGCAGCCTGGTCTCAAACTCCTGACCTGAAGTGATCCACCTGCCTCGATCTCCCAAAGTGCTGGGATTACAGGCGTGAGACACTGTGCCTGGCCTAAATGATTTCTTATATCCCCTTCTTTTTTTATATGAAAGGTAACATCCTGTAAATACGCTTTCGCGTCCTGCTTTTCTCCTCCTCACTTAGCACTGTATCCTGCAAAGCATTCGCTATCAGGTCATAGAGCTTTTCCTCATTCATTTGTACAGCTGCACAGCACTCCATTGTGTAGATGAACTGTAGTTTTTTCGAACACTCTCCTATGTACAGGCATATAGGTTGGTCCCAATATTTTGCAGTTATAATGAGTAACTTTGCTTATTCATTGCAAATATTTGCTTATTCATTACTCAATTGCAATGAACACCATGGTAATAAACAACTTTGAAGCACTGACTTTTGAAGAGGGACTGGTGTGGGATCTGAAGGCACACGTGTCTGTTTCCAGAGCCAGTGCTCCCTCTGCAATGGCACACTGCCTCTAGAGTCATTGTCCAGGACTGACACTATTCTCTAGTCACTTGATTGGGACAAGAGTGTTACTGTCTCCTTATTTGATTCTAAAAGAGCTATAATGAGTGGGCCACTTGCACAGCTGCCTAGCCTACCTTTGCTGGTCGATTACTTTGTTACCTTTTTTTTTCATTTTTTATTTTTAGAGATAAGGTCTTGTTTTGTCACCCAGGCTCCAGGCTGGAGTGCAGTGGTGCAATCACAGCTCGTTGCAGCGTCAACCTCCCAGGCTCAAGTGATCCTCCTGCTTCATCCTCCCGAGGAGCTGGGATTTCAGGCACATGCACCACCACACCTTGCTTTTTTTTTGTTTTTTGTTTTTGGTAGAGATAGAGTCTCACTATAGTACCCAGGCTTCTCTCGAACTCTGGGCTCAAGTGATTCTCCTGCCATGGACTCCCAAAGTGCGAGCCACCATGCCTGGCCTAAGTTGCCTTTTTTTTTTTTTTTAATTATACTTTAAGTTCTGGGATACATGTGCAGAATGTGCAGGTTTGTTACATAGGTATACACGTGCCATGATGGTTTGCTGCACCGAAGTTGCCTTTTTGAAGGGTCATTGTATCTGCAAATGCCGTGACCCCTTCCCGTGTGTTGACCCTCCCACACAGCCCACGACCATCTTTCAACAATGTCATCAAGAGAGGCAGACGTGGCCGGGTGCTACGGCTCACATCTGTAATTCCAATACTTAGGGAGGCCAAGGCAAGAAGATTGCTTCAACCCAAGAATTTGAGACCAGCCTGGGCAATAGAGTGAGACCCCGTTGCCTCTATAAAAAATTTTTTAAAGAATTAACCAGGCATGGTGCCACCACTGCACTCCAGACTGGACAAAGCCCTGTCTCAAAAAAAAAAAAAAAAAAAAGAGTGTGGACAGAGTGGAGAGTATACCTATGTGCATGTGAGCTCAGCTCTGCCAATATATGTGAGCAACAGGCCCCAAGGTGGGCAGAAAAGTCACATCATCATGAACTGGCAGTGAGGCTGGAGTTTTCAACGGGCCAAACTGCATTCCTCGTTTCTCTTCACGTACTGAGCATGGACGGACTTCTTCAGGCCCCCAACATTACCTGCTTAAAGAGGATCCCCTTCTGAGCCTGGCGGAGGGCCGGGCTGGGGAGCCAAGGTTAGTGGCTGCTCTGCTGCCATTCATGATCCACCCGGAATTTGGCTGAGGGAGGGAAGAAAAATAGCCCCAGTCAGACTGTGTAGCAGCCTGAGGCATCCTGGTGGCTCCTCTGAGCAGAAGTAGAGGCTTGGGGTAGGGACCAGAGTCCCCCCCAAGACGCTGCTGTGCTTGCCTTGGCTATGCCAGGAACCCTTTCTGCCGGGGCAGACCCTCTGCTCTTTCCCTACATTTGCCTTCAAATATCGACCTCCCGTGTGTGCCGGGCTCTTGAGGGACGTTATGTTATTTACACAGGATAATGACTCGGAAAGGATAAATCTTTTTCTCCAGGTTTTATGGATGGGTCAAGGGAGGCTCAGAAAGGCTAAGTAACCTGCCCAAGATTACACAGTAACCAGCAAAGTCATGATTTGATACTAGGTCTGTCTGATTCCAGAGCTCTAGATCTTTCCAAAAAAGAACATACATCCAACAAAGTATTTATTTTAACTCCAGAAGAAATGTTCAGGCTCATGGAATCACTTACAGGCAGAAGTCAGATGCTACAGGGGAGGACTGGGAAAGCAGGAGACCTAAAAATTGTCATTTCGTGCAAATCACTGAAATCACTTTCCTTGTTTGAAAAGGAGATCTTGCCTGCAGGGCTGCGGTTTGGCTCTCCTGATGGCTGCAGCTGGTGGAGCCTGTCTTCATAGGTCAGTTCCTTTGCCCCATGGTGGTTGTTATTTTTATTTTATTTTAATTTGTTTTTTTTAGATGAAGTCTCACTCTGTCACCCAGGTTGAAGTGCAGTGGTACGTTCTCGCTGTAGCCTCTGCCTCCCGGGTTCCAGCAATTCTCATGTCTCAGCCTCCTGAGTAGCTGGGATTACAGGCAGGTGCCACCACGCCTGGCTAATTTTTGTATTTTTAGTAGAGACAGGGCTTCACCATGTTGGCCAGGCTGGTCATGAACTCTGGACCTCAGGTGATCCTCCTGTCTCAGCCTCCCAAAATGCTGGGATTACAGGCGTGAGCCACCGTGCCCAGCCTAAATATTTTAAGTATTGCTGCTAGTCCCACACCTACTCACCTGGGATGTGGAGGTCAAATGAGACCCCAGCAAATGCTGAGAACACTCTACGCCAAAAGTAGGGAGAATTAGTATTTACAGGCACCCAGGGTCAGCTTTGTGGACCTGCAACCAATGCAATCACAGGCGGCTTGAGTTTGGTTTAATATTCTGCTGTCTTGTCTTGAGATTCTTAATAATTGTTGGACAAGGGACCTCACGCTTTCATTTTGCACCAGGCGCCACAAATTGTGTAGCGTGTCCTGCGGGCTTAATGACAATGGCTGACATAATTCATAAAAATATCCTAACGCCTCGAATCAAATTCCGGGGGACTGGGAATACACAACACGTAATTTCTTTCCTCCTGAAGTCACTGGAGTGTTGACTCTCCTGTCTCCTGGCTATTGAAGGGAAGGCACAGTTCCTGAGGAAGTGACTCTATCTCATGTAAGGCCAGTATGGTGTATGACGTACTCCAAGTGAAAGGGGCTAAAGAACGCAGTCATTACCCTCAGCAAGAACATTTTCCCAGCATCTGCTCTGGTTGCTATGGGGAACATTTGAGGCCAGGAGTTTGAGACCAGCCTGGCCAACATGTTGAAACCCCATCTCTACTTAAAAACAAACCAAACAAACAAACAAACAAACAAACAAACAAAAAACAAAAATTAGCTGGGAGTCACACACCTGCAACCCCAGCTATTCAGGAGGCAGAGGCATGAGAATCGCTTGAACCTGGGAGGCAGAGGCTACCGTGAGCTGAGGTTGTGCCGCTGCACTCCAGCCTTAGCAACAGAGTGAGACCCTGTCTCACAAAAAAAAAAAAAAAAAAAAAAGAAAGAAAGAAAGAAAGAAAGAATGCAGAGGAAGCAGGACGGGCAGAGGGACGTTAAACTGTGAGGCAAGTCTTGATCAGCTTGGTGGGGAGTTCTGGAAGGAGAATTGCCTGTTAGAGTTGTTGCTCAATGGGCCAAAATTGCTGGGCCTTCGCACCTCTCTATGCCTAGTTACTCGGTCTAGATATGCCCTAGGAAGGGTGTGACCCCTAGTGAAGCCACTGTGTGTGGCTGAGGCAGAGCCCCAAGGGCCTGCTGGCTTAATGCTGCATGTCAACCATGCTCCCGCACTGGGAAGAGCATTGTTTCTTGAAGGGAGAGCTGGGTGGCCCAGCTCTGTGTCCACCACAGGGTGAGTGGGGGAGGGTTAGCAGGTGGCTGTGGGGAGGGGGAAATGTTCCGTGAAGGCAGCTGAGTGGGACCTGTGGTCCTCAGGCATGTTGAAAAGAACGTCTGCTCTGTTGTGAAGGCGTATGAGAAAAGGACTCTGTGATCTCCTGAACCCAGGAAAAGTCACTAGCTGGGGAACTATTTCTAAGTCACCCCTAAGCATATGTAGGACCTGCCTGACATCTACCCTGCTCTCCTTAGCACCCAGCTTGTATTAGGCCATTTTTGTATTACTATAAAGAAATACCTGAGGCTGGGTAATTGATAAAGAAAAGAGCTTTATTTTGGTTTATGGTTCTGCAGGCAGTACAGGAAGTGTGGGGCTGGCATCTGCTTCTGGTAAGGGCCTCAGGAAGCTTCCAATCATGGTGGAAGGCGAAGGGGGAGCAGGCGTGTCATACGGTGAGAGTGGAAGTGAGAGAGAGGGAGAGGTGGGGGAGGGAGGTGCTATACTCTTTTAAACAACCAGATCTTGAGTGAGCTGAGAGAGAACTCACTCATCACCTCCGGGAGGTCACCAAGTCATTCCTGAGATAACTTCTCTCATCACCCAATCACCTCCCACCAGGCCCCACCTCCAACGCTGGGGATCACATTTCAACATGAGATTTGGAGGGGACAAACATCCCAACCGTATCACAGCTTACACTGTGGATGTGAACACAGCTGTACACATACACAGAATTTTATTGTAGTTTATACTAAAAACCAATCTCCCAACAGCTCCTCAGGGGACAGCTCGCCAGTTTTCTCCTTTACTCCATCCTGGGACTCAGACAAGTGGGGCACAAGGTCTCTTTCTGCTGATACAGGTGGGTCCCAAGTCTGCATTTCCTGTCTGGACTCAGCATCACCAAGGGTTACATGATGGTTTTGAAGGAATGTTGCTCAGAGTTTCAGGCGACTGGTCTGGAGGAGAGAAGGGGACAAGTGCTCACCTTGAATCCGTGCGGGTGGACAGATGTGTGGTGGAGGGATTCGAGGGTTACCTCAGACCACGCACTGGCCCACACAGGGCCAAAGTCACGCATCGTGTGGAGGCATTTTGCGGTGGAAACACACCCGGATGCAGGGAGAAGGGCTGGGGCCTGGCTCGTGCATCAGAGGGTCTCTCTGGTAAGTCTTCTTCCTCCATGGGACTCTGGAGGATCTGGAGGCTGTGGCCTCTCTCCTGGTCTCTGGTCAGGTGGCCAGCTGGGAGGACAGCTGCAGTCAGGCCAGCAGGAGAGGGACTGCGGCTGTGCAGGTGAGAAGGGTGGTCAGTCTTCATCCTTCAGACCAAGCCAGAAGGCAGCCATTTCAAAGCATCTCAGGCAGCCTAAGCTTGCTGGCCAGTCCACAAGCTTGGCCAGTCATCTTCACTGTCATGGTTGCCCTGGGGCAGTGCCTGTAGCAGTCAAGAGACAAACTCAAAAGGGAACCAGGTACTCCACAAAATAAGGCTTTTCTGGAGTCCATTTTTGAATGGGAGTGAAGGGACCAGAATTGGGTAGCACAGGTGAAAGTCGGAGGCGGAAGGGGAGGGCAACAGGAGCCTCCTAATAGCAACAGGGCTCCTCTGATGGCTGCCTTTGCCTTGAGGACACCCTGAGAGCCTTGCTGAACCTTTCTTTGATTTTGAGCTTAGCAAGCTCCTGCCGGACCTTCTCTCCTTCACTGGGGCTCAGCTTGCAGGGGTTCTGGAAATATCTCCGCAGATCACTCTTCCTCCCTGGGCCTCAGTTTCCTTATCTGCACAGTGAAGTCTGTTAAGCCAGGTCTTCTGACTTTATTTTTGTTTATTTATTTTGAGACAGAGTCTCGCTCTGTCATCCAGGCTGGAGTACAGTGGTGTGATCTTGGCTGACAGCAACCTCTGCCTCCTGGGTTCAAGCGATTATCCTGCCTCAGCCTCCCGAGTAGCTGAAATTACAGGCACACACCACCACACCTGGCTAATTTTTGTATTTTTTAGTAGAGATGGAGTTTCACCATGTTGGCCAGGCTGGTCTTGAACTCCTGACCTCAAGTGATCCACCTGCCTCAGCCTCCCAAAGTGCTGGGATTACAGGTGTGAGCCACCATGCCCAGCCTGTTTTGACCTTAAAGGAGGGGATTCAGATACCTGAATCTGAGGTAAAAGGGGAGGTAGACTGAGAGGTTCCTGGGGTTAAAGGCTGGCAGGGAGGCTGGGAAAAGGTAGAGAAGAGCCCCCTGCTTATGTTTCAGGGGCCAGGGCAAGAGAGTACATGGAAGCCTATATACCATGTGGCTAAATATTTCAAAAGCAAACAAAAAAACTGTTGAATCAAGTATGTTCTATTGATTGACCTTGAAAAAAATATTTTTCTGATGAGTGACCTGTAAGGCCAAGTTTAAAGGAAAATTTCTAGACTCCTTAGAGTCCCAACTTGGAGCATGTGGTGTGGAGAGAGCTGGTCCAGGACCTCAGCTGTGGCTACAAAAAGAATGTTCTCCCACTCCAGATCTCCTGCTCTAGGGAGCGGGGCTGACTAGGGGCCCCTGCTGCTGTGCTCTGAAATCTATCTTTGCTGTTTCCGCCAACCACTGAGTGCAGCAGGGATGCTAACGGGGTCTATTTGTGGGAGACACAGGGCTCCTCTGATGGTTGCCTTTGCCTTGAGGACACCCTGACAGTCTTACTGAACCTTTCTTCGATTTTGAGCTTAGCAAACTCCTGCCGGGCCCTCCTTCACTGGGGCTCAACTTAATGGTCCTCCCAGTCTTCTCCGGCTCCCTCCTCCTTTCCTTTCACACAAGCATTGCCCCTCACAAATCTTTGTCCCGTTCACTCTATCTTGACACCTATTCTTGGAGGACTTGGGCTAACACATTGGTCCCCCACTGGCTCCCCTTATCTTCTTACGCCTGGCTTCTTCCCACACCATGAGAAGCTCCATTCACAGGTGTATGGAGCCTCAGGTACCAGGCTCTAGGCGGTGGCAGGCATGTCCCCTTGGACTGCAGTCTCCTCATCCTGTGATCGTGTGGGGAGTGAGGCAGGGCCATAGGGAGCAGGAAGGGGGCCCCTCTTGTCTGAGTCTAAAGTGGTAGCGGCAGGGAGCCTGTCTTTCCCCTGCCTTCCCTCCACTCCAGCCTCCTGACCTGCACGGCTCTTTCTCATGCTCCCCGCCTCTGTGCTTTTCCAGAACACACTTTGTAACCACCTGGGATGGAGGTGGTGAGCATGTGTCCCAAGACCCATGCTTGGGATATACGCTCCATGGTGGTTCCATCTCTGTCTTCTTTCACACTCCGGAGAGTCTGGTGGAGAATAGAGGAAACTGAGGCTCAAAGACATTGAGTGAGCGTCCATCCCCAGTTCTTCTGATGCCCACCCCGGGCTTTGCCAGGATGTCCCAGCCAGCAGAGACAGCCACGTGGTATCTCACAACTCCCCTCTCAGTCCCTGAGAAACGAATGTGTCTTTCTTCTCATCTTTAAAAAAGTGCTGCTTCTTTCAACCTTGCAGCAACCCGACTGCGGGAATGCAGAGCCAAGCGTGTTGTCCCCAAGGCCAGCTAGACACCAGCCCTTCAGAATTTATCGTTATATTTGCAATCTGGGTAACGATAGGCAAATCTAGAGTCACAGGTTCTCAGGGGCCTCAAGATGTCTTTCAGCCAGCTGGCGGCTCCAAGGACTTCTGGGTCTGGGCGGGTGCTGTCCCCACACTGAGCAAGAGCGGAGTCTATGTCGTCTTGCACTGGTGAGGGGAACCTCCCCTGGAGAAGTCGAGGCAGCAACTTCTGACACACCAGCACCAGGCTCTGCTTCTCAGAGACACGTTCACAGGAGGGCAGCTGGGCCTGGCAGCCGGAAACCAAGCAGCTAAAAATGTCTTTATTCTCTCCTGCTCTGGTGGCTTCTTGGCTGCCTAGAAAAGAAATGGGAAATATTATACCCTGCTGCCTGGGCTCCTTGAGGGAGGGCACCACTAATTAGAATTGCTGGGTGACGCTGGGCACGGTGGCTCACGCCTGTAATCCCAGCACTTTGGGAGGCCGAGGTGGGCGAATCGCTTGAGGTCAGGAGTTCGAAACCAGCCTGGCCAATATGGTGAAACCTTGTCTCTACTAAAAATACAAAAATTAGTCGGATGTGGTGGCGCACATCTGTAATCCCAGCTACTCAGGAGGCTGAGGCTGGAGAAACATTGAACCCGGCAGGCGGAGGTCACAGGGAGCCGAGATTGTACCACTGCACTCCAGCCTGGGCAACAGAGCGAGACGCCATCTAAAAAAAAAAAAATTACTGGGTGAACTAGTACAGTCTCCTAGCATTTCCCTGTCACCAGGAGATTTAGGACTCAGGGACACAGTGGCTCCTTTTGAGAACCACATGGAAGGAATCCACTCTGCTACAATAGAGTGAGGCCTGGGCACGGAAAACCCACTTACCCCTACCAGAAGTTAGGCTGGTAATTGTAGGGATCACATCCATATTGTTAGACTCTCATTATTACTAAATTAGGGAACTCAGGAAATTATTGGGACTGGTTTCATTTGTGCCTTTAAAATGAGAAGTGAGGGCCAAACGCGGTGGCTCACACCTGTAATCCCAGCACTTTGGGAGGCTGAGATGGGCGGATCACCTGAGGTCAGGAGTTCGAGAACAGCCTGGCCAACATGGCGAAACCCCGTCTCTACTAAAAATACAAAAATTAACCGGGTGTGGTGACAGGTGCCTGTAATTCCAGCTACTCAGGAGGCTGAGGCAGGAGAATCGCTTGAACCCAGGAAGCAGAGGTTGCAGGGAGCCAAGATTGCATGACTGCACTCCAGCCTTGGTGACAGAGTGAGACTCTGTCTCAAAAACAAAAACAAAAATGAAAAACAAAATTAAATGCAAAGTTAGGAGAAAAAACAAGTAATCCCAAATATGTATTCAATGAGTTGTAGTGTGAATGACATTTCATGATTTACATATCCGGAATATTCTGGAATCAGCCTCATTTCTTCTGATTTGATTCTTCTTAATAAAGGCAAATCAGGAAATAAATAAGTGTGGTTTAATTTGTCTATTTTTGTAAGCTTTTGCATACAAACAAAATCAGAAATTAGAAAAAAAATCCTTTGTCCTCTTATTGGGCTCAGAAAATTTGGTCAGCATTAGAGATTAGGGTGTTAGAAGGGTTCTAGAACCCTGAATGAAACTTTACACATAGTGAGAAACACAATTCAGTCATCTGCCTCATTCGGTTCCATGCTTTTTTGCTTTGAAAACTTTATACAGAGCAATTGTGCCAAAATGGATTGCAAAATATACCAGTAAATCAACCTGATATTTAAGTTTTAGATAAAGGGTAAAAGCATCTGATGAGAAAGACTCTGAGAGGGAGATGGACCCAAAAGGTGTGTGTTTGTGTGTGTGTGTGTGTGTGTGTGTGTGTGTGTGTGAGAGAGAGAGAGAGAGAGAGTGAAAGAGAGAGAGGGAGAAAGAGAGAGAGAGAGAGAGAGAGAGAGAGAGAGAGAGGAGGGTCAAGGCAGGTCCCTGGGCCACATAGACTCAACTACACAACAGCACTGCCCTGGGAAGGTGCAGCTGGGGGCTGTGCCACTATGCACAATGCTTCTCATGGACAAGGTCACATCCACTTCCCCTTTGGAGATGGAGTTAGAGTAGAAATTCAAATAGGAGTGAGGGAAATTTTACATGAAATCTAACATTCTCTGAACTTGAGTGGCTCTCACTGTGACACGCAGAGATGGGAAAGGCCCAATAGTGTGACCCCTGACCCACCCTTCCCTAGCTCCTGTCACCCTGACTTCCCCTCTGACAGCTGTTCAGCCAGGCCCATGCTGAGTACCTTCCTGCTTGTCGATGACACCCACTGCACTGGCATCCCGGATGAACAGATGCCCGTTGTTAAAGACGCCGAACATGCCTGCATCAATATGGGTGAAGTAGAAGAAATAGTTCAAATCGTTGCTCCTCAGAGACTCCAGGACACCCAGGAGCTGGTAGGCAAGGTCGGCTGCCTGATGTGGGGGTGCACCATAGAATTCCTGCAGCGGTCTGGTGCTGGTGCTGACGAGGAATCTGCCACAGGAGCCCAGGTACTGGGGCAGTGGCCATCCCTCAGCCCCAGGGAAGATCTGCCAAGCCAGAAGGAGGAGGATTAGAGAGAAAAATCTGGTGACAGCTCTCTATCTATTTATTATCTATCCATCTATCTCTATCATCTATCTATCTATCTATCTATCTATCTATCTATCTATCCATCATCTATCATCTATCTATCATCTATCATACCTCTAACTCTATCTACCTATCTCTATTTATCTACCTATCTCTATTTATCATCTATCTATCTATCATCTATCTATCTATCTAATAATCAATCATCTATCATCTATCTGTTCATCATCTATCATACCTCTAACTCTATCTACTCATCTCTATTTATCATCTATCTATCTATCATCATCTATCTATCTATCTATCTATCTATCTATCTATCTATCTATCTATCATCTATCTGTCTATCATCTATCATAATTTCAACTCTATCTACTTATCTCTATTTATCATCTATCTATCTATCATCTATCTATCTATCTATCTATCTATCTATCATCTATCTGTCTATCATCTATCATACCTCTAACTCTATCTACCTATCTCTATTTATCATCTATCTATCTATCATCTATCTATCATCTATCTATCTATCTATCTATCTATCTATCTATCATCTATCAATCTATCTATCATCTATCTATCTATCTATCTATCTATCTATCTATCTATCATCTCTCTATCTCTGTCCCTCACTGCAAGTACAGAAAGATCAGCATCTCAAAACACGTCAGTGAAGAGTCTCTCAACCATTTTTATACCTCTGGGAACATGGCAATGCCCCGTCCCTCCTCTTCCCCATGTTTTAATTCTGTTACAGATGGAAAGATTCAGAAAAGGAGGCTGCTGTCATTTCTTTGTAGCAGACTGCCTTTCTTTTTTTTTTTTTTTGAGACGGAGTCTCGCTCTGTCGCCCGGGCTGGAGTGCAGTGGCCGGATCTCAGCTCACTGCAAGCTCCGCCTCCCGGGTTTATGCCATTCTCCTGCCTCAGCCTCCCGAGTAGCTGGGACTACAGGCGCCCGCCACCTCGCCTGGCTAGTTTTTTGTATTTTTTAGTAGAGACAGGGTTTCACCGTGTTAGCCAAGATGGTCTCAATCTCCTGACCTCGTGATCTGCCCGCCTTGGCCTCCCAAAGTGCTGGGATTACAGGCTTGAGCCACCGCGCCCGGCCGTAGACTGCATTTCAACAGAGTTCCTCCAAGCAGGGTATGAGAATGTTAATGGACTTGCCACAATTTTAGACAGTATCGGGGATTCAGGGAAATACGTTTAAGAGTTGTACAGTTGAAAAAAATAGGATTATTTGAGATTTCACAGATATCACTGCTTAGGAAGAGGCTACGGGAAAAATAATAGAGGATCAACTTAAGTCTGATTTAAAGCAAAACTTTTTTTTTGAAAGCGACAAGGTTTTGCTCTACCGCCCAAGCTGGAGTGCAGTGGCACGATCATAGTTCACTGCAGCCTCAAACTCCTGGGCTCAAGCAATTCTCTCACCTCAATCTCCTGAGTAGCTAGGACTTCAGGCACGTGCCTCCGTGCCTGGCTACTAAAGAAAAATATTTTTAAGAATAACAGCAACTGGGTACAGTGGCTCACGCCTATAATCCCAGCACTTTGGGAGGCCGACGTGGGTGGATCACTTGAGGACAGGAGTTTGAAGCCAGCTTGGCCAACATGGCGTAACCTTGTCTCTACTAAAAATACAAAAATCAGCCAGGAGTGGTGGCGCATGCCTGTAATCCCAGCTACTCTGGAGGTTGAGGTAGGAAAATCACTTGAACCCAGGAGGCAGAGGCTGCAGTGAGCCGAGATCACGCCACTGCACTCCAGCCTGGGTGACAGAGTGAGACTATGTCTCCAAAATAAATAAATAAATAAATAAATAAATAAATAAAAATAAACAGTACAGGTACCTCGTTCTGGGACAGGGCAAAAATCATAAGGGTGGTCTGTGGGTGACTGAAGTTTTGGGAACTACTATACTGGCCTTAAGCCTCTCTCCTGCCAGCCATGCATGAATCTGTCTGGCTGGGGTAGCTACATTCATCGTACAGATGTTCCCCAACTAACTGGAACCTTTCAGACAGCCTAAAACTGGCCTAGGGATGCATGAAGCCCTGACCTGTCTCCTCTGCCTCCTTGAAAGAGGTCCAAACCTGTGGATTTGTGAGATGAAAAGTGGGGAGGAATCCTGGCTAACCTTTTCTTGACTATTTATTGAAGCAGCTATATCTAGAATGGCTACATACATCAGCACTTTATTCCTTGTTTTCCTTCTTTAAAAAATAAAGGCATCCCCTTTTCTGATGGTTTTCTGCAGTCCTCTGCCCATTTTAACCCACATAACTGCACAGTGAAGAACCCGTGCCCATTTGAGTTTCCCCTGCCTAGGGGGGACCGGTTTTTTTTTTTTTTTTTTGACAGAGTCTCTTGCCCAGGCTGGAGTGCAGTGGTGTGATCTGGGCTCACTGCAACCTCCACCTCCCGGGTTCAAGCGATTCTCCTGCCTCAGCCTCTTGAGTAGCTGGGATTACAGGTGCACCCCACTGTGCCTGGCTAATTTGTTTTTGTAATTTTTAGTAGAGACTGGGTTTCATCTTGTTGGCCGGGCTGGTCTCGAACTCCTGACCTCAGGTGACCCACCCGCCTCGGCCTCCCAAAGTGTTGGGATTCCAGGTGTGAGCCGCAGTACCTGGCCCGGAGGGGACCTTTCTTACTATGTACCGCAGAGGGAAGTCCTGGGCCTACTGTTGTCTACAGGTGCGGCCACATAGCCATTCCAGGGTTCTATGCCTTGCCCTTCCTGGGCAGAGCCCAGGGCTGAGTCCCAGCCCCATGCTCTCATCCCACGCCTCTCAGGAGCCAGGCCTAGAAGTAGCCAAGGTCTGGGAGAAAAGATCTGTGAGAGTGCAGGACAACTGGCAATTCCTTTTCCTTCTCTAGTATTTCAAAGGCCAATGTCGCCAGGCAGATTTTAGCGGGAAGAGTGTGGCCTCTGAGGGCCACACTCTGAGGGCAGATGGCTCTGCATTTGGGTTCTATTGCTGATGTTGGCTAAAAGTGACTTGGGCCGAGTCACTTTACATCTCAGGACTCCACTAAATCTCATCTGGAAAAGGGGACAATAATAATATTCTCAGGGGGTGGCTGTGAGTGCTAAATGAGATGATGTCAAACCTTCAGCACAATGCAGGTGACTGAGTAAATGAGAACTGTTATTATGTGTTCAGTCATCATCCCTTTGGCCAGTGTTTATTAACTGTCTTTGCTGTGGCTTCTTCCTCCTCTACCTGCGCCTTTTCCCCCTCCTCTTCCTTCTCTTTCCTCCTTCCTTTCCCTCTCCTCCTCTCCCTCCTTCCTTCCTCTTCCTTTTCTTAGTCCTCTTCTTCCCCCTTCTCCTCCTCTCCTTCCTCTTCTTCCCTCTTTCTCTCTCTACTCCCCTTCCTTTTCCACCTCCTTTCCCCCACTTTCTAGTTCCCTTTGTGTCCATTATGTGACCCCTGTGTCCTTACCCTTGAGGTCAGGGGTCAGTCGGAGTGATTGGGCTCCACATATTTTATAGGTGTTTGTTTCCATGTTAAGTGTCTGTCTCTACCACTGGACTGGAAGCTGCATGAAGGCAGGAGACACCATACTTGTCTGGTTGACCAGTGTATCTCCAGGCCCTTAATGCATCTTCATTTATTTGACCATTCCCCTGTGTATGGACATGTAGGAGTTACTTCTTTTTTTCCCCCCCTCCTTTCCAAGCATAGCTGCAAGGTACATCTCTGGGTGGGTCATTCCTTGGCTATTTCTCCACTTCCTGAGCTTGATCCCATCTGATTGATCTTTGAGGCACAGGTCAAAGTTGGCCTCCTTCACAAAGCCCTTCAGGGCTGCTCAGGCAGTGAAGGTGGCTACTGTTCCCTCCTATCCCCATCCTCCTCCCAGCTCTGGGCTTCCACACCTGTTTCCTCTACAGCAGCCACAGCACTTTCACACTGCAGAAGCCAACACATGCCAGAAAGGTCCTAACACGGGCTAGTGGCCCCAAGACATGCAGTAAAAGGAGGGAGAAAGCTCAATCCAGGGCGGTTTCTGCAAGTCCAAGATTGACCCCCAACCTAGAGGGCTTGCCAGGTCCTTGCGTACCTGTAGGAGGATGGGGTGTGAGTTGACAGCCAGCGTGTAGAGCAGGCGCAGCTTGTCGCGGTCGGTGAAATGGTCCATGAAGATGCTGCCAGCGTCGGCCACCTCTGCATAGCGCCTGACCACGCGATCCAGGAGTCTCTGCGAAGGGCAGCGCAGGAGTGGACTGGCCAGGCCCTGGGCGCAAGTGGGAGAGAGGTGGGAGAAGACAGAGGGATGCTAAGCTCTTGTGGGGGATTAGCAGGAGGGGGAATGGGCAGACCCTGTGTTGGGGGTGAGGGAGACCTTGAGGTTGGGGGGCCAGGTGAGGCATGGGGGAAAGACCTACAGGAGTAGGGGTTGCCAGGTGGGAGGTGTTGGGTAGCTCCGCCCAGGGGGAAGAGGCGGCAGATCTCTGTGGCTGGGGAGAGGGGCCAGAACACTTCTGCGGGGGCAGGATGGGAGGCTACCCTGGGGTGGGGCACAGAGACCCAGGGAACAGAGAAGGGAATGTGCTCTCTTGGGCAGCACGGCAGGAGGGCACTCGGCAAGCCGAGGACAGGGCGGGGGAGAGGAAGAATGGGAGAGCAGGTGGACCCCACCTTTTCCCAGCCCTCAGCTGGCCATCTGAGTTTTGCATTGCCTGTGTCTCTACCCACCATTGCACCCCCACCCTGCCCTTGGAAAGAAGGCTGATCCCAGGTTGAATTCATTCCCTGCCATGGGCTCTTTCGATTCCTTCTGCCATTTGACTTCGATATCACAACTATGAGGCTGCACTTGAGCGTCTTTATATGCACCACTGTGTTCTTGGGATAAGACTTGGAGATACGAACCTAGGCTTTTTTTTTCATGAATGTTTCCAGTAGTTCTTTACAGACTAATACAGATGCCACTAACACCATGCGGGTGTGGTGGTTTGGATCTGTGTCCCTGCCCAAATCTCATGTGGAATTGTAATCCCCAGTGTTGGAGGAGGGGCCTGGTGGAAGGTGATTGGATCATGGGAGCAGATTTCCCCCTTATTGTTCTTATGATAAGGAGTGAGTTTTCATCCTTCCTCTTCGCCTTCTGCCATGATTGTAAGTTTCCTGAGGCCTCCCCAGCCATGCTTCCTGTACAGACTGAAGAACTGTGAGCCAATTAAACCTCTTTTCTTTATAAATTACCCAGTCTCAGGTAGTTCTTTTTGTTCTTTTTTTTTTTTTTTTTTTTTGAGACAAAGTTTCACTCTTGTCACCCAGGCTGGAGTGTAGCGGTGCAATCTCAGCTCACTGCAACCTCCAGCTCCCAGGTTCAAGCCATTCTCTTGCCTCAGCCTCCCAAGTAGCTGGGATTACAAGCATGCACCACCACACCTGGCTAATTTTTTTGTATTTGTAGTAGAGATTGGGTTTCACCATGTTGGCCAGGCTGGTTTCAAACTCCTGATCTCAGGTGAACCACCCACCTCGGCCTCCCAAAGTACTGGGACTACAGACATGAGCCATGGTGCCTGGCCTCAGGTAGTTCTTTACAGCAGTGTGAGAATAGACTAATACAGACGCTAGAAGATTTCTTGAAAGATAGTGAGTTTAAGCTGAAGCCTGAACCTGAGGGTGGAAGAGTATTTCATGCAGAGGGAACAGTATATGCAAAAATGTTGAGAGGAGAGAGAATGTGCTAGAAGCTACAGGTGGTTAGGGCTTTTTGAAGCTAGAGTATCACTAGTGAGAGTGAACAGAGAGGAATCCCAAAATGGAAGACAGATGAAGTCATTTTAAGGAATTTTGATTTTATCTAGAAGGGATAGGGGACCACTGAAGCCTTTAAGCAGATACACATTTTATGCTCAGCTATACATTTTAGGAAAGCGATTCTGGGTTGTTACGTGGACAATAGATTCAGAGGAGTGTGGCCAATACTGCTAGTTATTGGCCCCTGCATTTTAGCTAGGCATATGGCCACACCAAATAAAGATTTCATTCCCAGCTTCCTTTGCAGCTAGGTGTGATAATGTGACTAGGTACCAGTCAATGAGATATAAGTAAAAATTTCTGAGAAGAGTCCTTAAAGGGAGAGGATGTAGCTTTCTTCACTCTTTTCTTCCTGGCTGGAATGTGAAAGTGATGGGTGGTGCTCAGGCAGCCATCTTGGATCAGGGCACACTAAGGGCTGTGAAGCAGCAGAATAAAAGTAGCCTGGATCCCTGACAATCATGGAGCCACTATATTGGCCTTGGACAGCTATGTATCAGTTTCTTTTATGTTTTTTAAAAAGTGTATTTTGGCCAGGCATGGTTGCTCATGCCTGTAATCCCAGCACTTTAGGAGGTCGAGGTAGGCAGATCCCTTGACTCCAGGCATTTGAGGCCAGCCTGGGTGACATGGTGAAAGCCTGCCTCTACAAAAAAATACAAAAACTAGCCAGATGTGGTGGTGCATGCCTGTAGACCCAGCTACTTAGGAGGCTGAGGTAGGAGGATCACTTGAGAACAGAAGGTGGAGGTTGCAGTGAGCCATGATGGTGCCGCTGCACAGCCTGGGCAACAGAGTGAGACCCTGTTGCAATGAATAAAAGTGTATTTTGATCTTGTTTAAGCCACTGTTACTTGGATTTGTTGTTACATGCAACTGAACTTAATCCTAAATATCACAGGAGGAAATAATGGAGGCAGGAAGGTCAGTTAGGAAGATGCAATGATTGAGGTGCGAGATGAGAGAATGCAAAGACTTGAAGATATTTGTTGGTAGCAGAATATACCAGTCTTAGTGATAAGCTCAATGGTTGGGGGCTGTTGGTGAGAAGAAAGGAGATGTCAGAGATAGTACTCAACGTGAGGGTGGATAACAAGAATATTGTTTGCTGGGGTGATTTTAAAACATGTTTGCAAACTCTTTGTCACTTCTCCCGTCAAGGGATAGAGTCTCATTTCCCTCCCCTGGAATATGGACTGCCTTTGGTGACTCACTTTTGGTGGATAGCACGGTGCAAGAGTGAAGATACAAAACACTGAGCCTAGGTCTTAAAAGGTGATACAGCTTCTACTTGGTTCTCTCTTTGGATGCTTGCTTTTGTACCTAGCCACCATGCTGTAAGGAAGCCCAGGTCACATGGAGAGCCATACGTGGAGAGAAAAACCAAGATCTCCCACTCACTGCAGCTGGGCTGCTAACTGCCAGCCAGTCCCAACTTGCCAGCCATGTGATTGAGCCATCTTGGAAGTGGAACCTCTATGCCCTATAGAACCACCCCAGCTGATGCCACGTGGAGTTTGGTGAGCCTTTCCCACCAAGCTCTGCTCAAGTTTCATATTCATGAGCAAAATAAATGATTGCTGTTTTAAGTCACTATGTGTTGAAATGGTTTAATACACAACAATAGATAACTGATATATTTGCTGAGAAGGTTCTGAACCACCTCTTTAACTACAGCAGGAACAGGCTTAAGAGACCATTTATAGTACCCCTTCCCTTTATGATGCAGGCAGCTCCTCCCCAAGGTCCCACTTACAGAGTGAGACCTTTGTCTACTTCTGTTTGGCATGTGCTGGCCATATGCAAACCCACAATTATATTGGCCAATGGCAAGCAGAATTGGGAAACCAGCCATTTCCGATAAAATAAGGTTTCATTTCAAACCAGATACACCCATTTTGGGGATTACCAATTGCTTTGGAGTTTCTAAATCACTTCTCGCATCTGCATACATGGGCAACAGGGTTAACTTACCACCTCCCAGTGAAAAATAAAAAGATAACCAAACCTTGGACCTCTGTTGCCCCTCTCCCTCCTGTGCCTGGTTTCCTCATCCTTGCATTTCCTGTCTGGTGCTATCCCTTGGGAAGCCAGCTGACCAGTCAATGTCTCCATCGACTGGAATTTTGCTTGGCTATGTTGTTACTTGATAGGGGCCTTTGGTTCAGGGTGATACTGAGAGTGGCTGTCACAGTTCTCTACCACAATCCTTAACAGTCTGTAAGACGGTCGATAAAATTTAGCAGATATGTTGCTGTGATGGTTAATTTTGTGTCAGCTTGGCTAGGCTGTATTCCCCAGTTATTCAATCGAATGCTAGTCTAGGTGTTGCTGTGAAGGCATTTCACAGATGTGATTAACACCTACAATCAGTTTACTTTAAGTAAAAGAGATTATCTAGATAATCTGGGCGGGCCTGATCCAATCATTCAATGTCCTTAAGAGCAAAACGGATTTTTTTAAGGAACAAGGAATTCCATCTGCAAACTACAGCATCAGCTTCTGCCCAAAGGTTTACAGATTGCTAGTATACCATATGGATTTTGGACTTGCCAGTCCCTACAATCATGTAAATCAATTCTTTGAAATAAATCTGGACATGTATATGTATCTCTTACTGGTTCTGTTTCTCTGGTAGGACCCTGCCTGATAACACTAGCTAAAGGAAAAACACTTGTTCATTACAAAAACGGACAGCAACTAAGACTGAAATCTAAGTTTGCTTTCATCTTGGAAGCTTTTAGTGAAATCTGAATAGAGGAGAAGTAACTTCCCCAAGGAGTCATTTGACCTGCGGTTGGCTTTCATCCATACCCCGGAGTGTTTGCTCAAAACACATCACCAGCAATCAGCAGTGTCCTCATTTAAAGGGTTCTTACCAGAATGGAACCGTAAAAGATAAATAGTCTTGACAGATGATTTCATGACTCTGATGGAGGTACTTAAAAAGTAAAAGAGATATGCTTTTGTTTCCCTCTAGAAGCTAGAGATAAGACAGTTCATCCATCACTAGCGCAAGAACAGGTTTTCCTTCAGACCAGACCAAAATTTAGAAGTTATGTGGACCTTCCTTTGGTAATGTTGTCAGAATTGCCCTAGCTCCTTATCAGGTTCTGTCTCATGGGAAGACCTGTCCAGACTGAGAATCTCGCCAGAAATAGATGACAGTGGGATCACATCTGGATTGGGGTGGGCTGAGCAATGGCCCCATCTAGGGGACCACAGTGTGGTGGAAAGAGCTGGGGCTCTGGAGTAGCCATCAGAGAATATTGTGCAAAGGTAGCCTGTTGCTGGTGGGCCTGTGTGTAGGTGAATTCTGGAGGGTGGCATGGGAGCTGCATGTGAAGGCTTGATGCAGATGCCTCTTTAGTGACTACTATTTGAAAATATGGTTGGTATGACACAGTTGGGAGAAAGCTAACACTTTCTGGAAGTTCTAAGTGCTGGGCCCTATGCCAGGCT